TTCAGTATTTATATCCCCTCCTTGACCTCGATACAAGGACAGCTCGATCCTAGGTTCTTATTGGTCGGAATCCTCAACTATGGCTGCAGGAACTATCATCCGAAAGCACATGTTCTTAAACTCACAAAAATGCGGAAATATTATATTCAACCCTAAATGGGCACCGGAACAGAATCTATACTACCCTTGCTAATGCTACTGAATGAATTTGGCTGGAAAATATCCAATAGATAGATAGATAGATAGATAGATAGTTTTATTTAACCACTTTACATGAATTACATGTTTGTAGCAAGTCAAGGTACAATAGATTTTATTATTATAGTAAAAACACTCAAGTATACATGTTAATAAATTACAGTTTAAAAACGGACATTGAAGAACAAAACAGATTAAAATGACACACATATTGTGTGCTGTAATGGTGACATATACATGTATGTACGTGATTCAAAAGTTTCACATATACAATCATAGCGTCATATACGCAAAATACTCAAGAACAATGGCCTGAAGAGGATTGAGTTATAACTACTTATTTTTATAAATATGTTTATGAAGTTGGGGTGAGCATCATGTTATTCATGGTTAAATGAAAGAAATTCCTCAATTGAATAGGAAGCGTGTGATAGTAAATGATTTTTTACCCATTTCTTGAATTGGATGAAATTTAAAGATTTTACAGCTGGTGGTAAGACATTCAAAAATCTGACATTTAGAGAATTTCGCTCAGTGACAGATAGTCTGAATTTAGGAGTTCTGAGTTTACTTGATGATCTCGTGGCGTGGTTATGGACATCAGCGTTTTTCGAGAACAGCGCTATATTGGAAAATGTTTCCAGTAATGTTTGGTATATAAAAACACAAGGTATTGGCAAGATTTTATATTTTTTGAATATTGGCTGACAGTGCGCATGGTATGTTGCACCTTCGATGATTCTTAGCACCTTTTTTTGAAGCCTAAAAACTCTAATGGCAGGTGTTGCGTTACTCCAGAGAATAAAACCATAGTTGAGGTGCGAGTGAAAGAGAGAATGGTAACAAGATAATAATATTGGAATGCTCAAGATTTTTTTCAATTGTCTCAGCAGAAATAATAACAAAAAAGTTATGACCAGGTGAACATCCATCATTTCAACTGATAAAAAATTCATCCGAATTTCATATCATATGCAAAGGGTTGAAAAATATTGAAGTCTTTAGGGTTGTATGTAATGATGTTCATCAGAGTTAACTATCAGGAAAAGCTTTCGGAAGTCAGGAATCAATGCATTACTCAGCTCTCAGGTTCTCAGGTTTTGAGCTTTCGAACAAGTGAAATTCAAGTAAAATCAGTCTCAGGTACTTAGATATCAATCAAAACTAGTCTAGTAATGAAGCTGGTCAAAAACACTTCATTACAATATCTTTTCGCCGTTTTTGATTTTTTGTTCCAACTGGAAGATCAGCAAATGAGTGCTGGGATTGACTTGGGATTGAATCCGATTTGATGGAAAGCTCAGCGTGGAGCTTGTAGATCTTAGATTATATACAGGGTGTATCTAAATAACACCAAAAAAATTCTAGGGATGATTCCTTGTGATATTTTACGAAATAAAGTTCATATAAACATGTGTGACCTAACTTGCTCAATTTTCGAGATACAGGGTATTCCATGAAAATTCGTTTTTTATTTATTACTCAATTGTCTTTTCATCAATTTCGATAAAACGCTGTGGTTTTGTTAATACTAATATGGAGATTCATCTGGTGCAATTATATTCGGAATAATATTTCCAGTGGCGTCGCAGTGGGTATAAATTTATCGATATTTATGGTGAATGCCATTGTACTCGACCAGTTTTTCTGAGTTTCATATTTTCATTAGATTGAACTATTGAAATAACAACTTTTTCATCGTCTGTGTGATTTTTGTATCTAGCTTAGATTTTTTGGAAACAATAAAAATTCGATATGACTCCAAACTTTAATGTAGGCGTATTTTCAAGACTTCCATGGGGGGTTATTTCAACATCCTGTATCTCAAAAACGGAGCAAGTAAGAACCCATGTTTATATGAATTTCATTTGCTAGAATATTACAATAAGGAATCCCCCTTGAATTTTTTCGGTGTTATTTAGATACACCCTGTGTATACTTGCATTTTCGAGATATAATCGTCCATTCAACATATTTTTTACGTTCACACGAATAAAATTGATATAAAGGTATCATTTTCCATTACCTACTTCAGAAAACTCAGTGATGGTGACTCAGCTAGTAGGTACCTATAATTATCACCGATAAAATTTATGTCTTAATAGACATAAAATATAATTCAAGTTCGTGCTTTTGAGATAGTGTATATATAGTCATCAATACTTTCATTGCATTCGTTAACAACCACATTTTTCAGATATCAGATCATCGATTTGATTTCACTTTTGTCAATACATGATGGAGTGAAGGTCTCATAGCTGTGTGAACAAACGATTTGGATTTCGTGCAAAATAATGTATTTCACAGTTCGTACTCATCAGGTTGAAAAACAAAACAAATATTCTTGATCCTTCACCAAAAACAAGGATTTGTTGCATCACCAAATTATTTATGCTTACTTCATTTTTGTTGGACTGAGCAATTTTTTGTTGAATCATCCAGATACATGATTATTCCATGGAAGCAGCTTGTGCAAATCAAGAATGTATAATATCGATTCCATCAACAAAATATGTGGTTTTCCCAAAAACAAATTACGTCGATCCGAAATAATGTCGATATTGCTTCAACATGAACATTAATGAAAAATGTTGTTCATTCTACTTCAAGTTACATTTTCGCCTAGAGATGGCGATCATTTCGCCTCGTCTATGCCTGCCTCGAATCCATTATATACGTGAAGCCTGATTGTTCGTGTTTGAAATATTAGCTGGATGAATCGAACTTAGGATGATTAGCAATCCGAAATAGTTTTGCATCAGCTGAAGAGATGTAAAGATTGGAAATCTATGCCAGAAGTCGACTAGTTTCCTAGTTTAGTTCATTCTATGATGTGAAATTTCAGAAAATTTCCGAATTGATACTGAATTTGGTTCAACAAAATAATTTGTCGAATGGAAATACAGTTTCTCTTGAATCAACCAACTAACTCATTGAATCAACCAAATATTTCTTTGAATCAACCAAATATTTCATTGAATCAACTGAATATTTGACTGATTCATTATCTTGTTATTTTGAAACGAACAAAATGATTGTTAAGGCCAATTCAATATCTCTTCATGAACAATTCATGGATGTGCTTGATTGAATAAGATCCAAATTCGCTCTGAAATAAGACATAGATTCACTCATTTCGAGATTATAGGTTGTCGTGCATATATGTCCCTTTAATCTGCTTCATTCGATTAAATTCTGCTTGATTCAACAATTCCTTTTTTTTTCGTGTAATATTTGACCTGACGAATTCAAAGTTTATATTGTACATAAGCTCAAATATAAATTGAAGATGCATCTACTACATCCTTCATGTCGTAGATTTTTTTTTAATCACCCGAAATTCAACTATTTGTATTGCTAACAATTAATATGTAAGTACCCATTATTGCTAAAGTCCTTTTTTTTTGCATATAGCCCTCTGTTGGTTGAGTGGAAAAGCTTTGAGCTAGACTTCGCCAACAGTCTACGTAGGATTTTGTTCCCATTTATTTCACTTATGACAATAAGTTACAAGTTTCAAGTTTATAAAGTTTCAAGTTTCAAGTTCATTCAGAAAGAAATACAATAAGTTTATAAAATAATTGAATAACATTTTATACAATTTTTCGAGCTACCTAAATAAGTTATTACACCTAGATTACAAGCAATCTGTATATATGTTCAAAAATCTGAGAGGTTATGTTAGTTTCTTAACATATTATAAAGTGGTGAAATAAATTATTATTATTGATTATAATATCCAACAACCTACATGTACTTAAATAGAGAAATGCTGAGGGAATGAGAATTAATACAAAAATAAAAGGAAAAAAAATCTTATGCACGAAATGCAGAGAATTGCCTACATTAGTTTTACAAATGTTTTATAGTTACTGTAGATGATTGGCTTACAATTTTTGGCAAATGCGTCAAATTCAGAAATATTTTTTATGTGAATTGGTATAGAATTGTAAATTTTTGGAGCTATAGGCTCGTAATGAATCTTTGGTTACCATCTTTTCTGTAAAAAGAAACAATTATATTCTGGTTGGATATTATTTGTCTAGTATGCTTAACTTTTGTTTGTAAATCCTTGTTTTTATACAAAACAAGACAAATATTGTAAAAATATAGCATTCTGATGTTGAGTATATTGTCGCCATAGAGGTTTTCCGTAGCGAATTGTTTTTCTTTTTGGAAAATGAACTTAAAAATATAGTTTTGTACAACATTCAGAGGTTCGAGTGAGTTTATGTATAGACCACCCCACACAATTATATATCATACTGTAGAATAGACCCAACCAAAGCTCTATAGATAGATATAAAAAGTTTTTTATTCATGAATTTACGTAGCTTGAGAACTTGAAAACTAGCCTTCTCGTTTTAACAACTAAATAATTAACATGACTAAATTTTTATCAACTATATGACACCTGAATATTCTATTTTGCTAACTTCATTAATTTTTAGTCCTGTTCTTGGTAGCTGTAGGAAGTTAAAATTTGATCTGTTGACATCAGTGAGAGAAAATGCAATAAATTTTGATTTATCTAGCAAGTTTTGCTTTAGTTTTTACACCTTCCCAAGTATCATCGCTAAATACCAAAACTGTGTCGTCCGCATACGATATGATTAAGCCTTGTATGTTATTGCTCAGTAATGAATTGATATAGATGACGAATAGGAGAGGACCTAGGACAGTTCCCTGCGGGATGACCAAATTGATCGTTCTATAGTCGCTCATGATGTTATTTAAGGGGCGTTCATTATTATTATTATTATTTAGCCTCAAATCATTAACCAGTTTCTTATGATTTTCAGGCCAAGGGAGAGTGAACCAACTAGGCGGCGTTTTCATAAACGGCAGACCTCTGCCCAACCACATCCGACTGAAAATTGTGGAGCTGGCAGCCGCTGGAATAAGACCCTGTGTGATTTCCAGGCAGCTCCGAGTGTCTCACGGTTGTGTTTCCAAAATTCTGAACCGGTATCAGGAAACGGGTAGCATCAGGCCTGGTGTTATTGGAGGCTCGAAACCCAGAGTAGCCACCACAGACATAGAGGAGAAGATTGAGGAACTGAGGAAGGAGCAGCCAGGGATTTTTTCATGGGAGATTCGGGAACGACTGATCAAGGTGAGAAAACTTACTCTTCTCTATCGATTACTCAGGACCATTCTACTCCTCTCTCTTCTTTATTTCATATTGTATATATCTCGTCATATCTTGAATTGTGTTCGTGGTGGAATCTCCTTATGCATAAACTGGAAATAAATTGAACCTATTGGTCTGAGCTCACGTTAACTACTCACTTTGTCAATTTTGATTGGCATTCATCCATTCCCCAGACTTGAGGTCTTGTCTTTTTCTTGCTAATTTTTCATGCCATTGGGGGTGGTATAACGCAATGTATTCTATCCAGTAATTACTCTACGGTCATTGAAGAATGTTACAGCTGTTTGTTGGAATTCTAGTTGAACTTCGATTGAAACTATATGTTATACCTTCGGAGAGTATATGTGTGACTTCGAGCAATCGGAATTTTACTTTTTCAATCGCTATCGACTTGATTCTCTTGCGTGTTTATTCGTGTCAGCTTACAATTTCAAAAAGATATGTGAATTGGGCTCAAAACGGACTTAAGTCATTCGCATTTGAGAACATCTTTACAGATTTTTCATATCATCTCTCCTTCTCTTATAATAGAGCTGAGACATCGAGTTTTGCTCTAACTGTACAATCAATACTATAAGTTGAAGTTGATGGGAATCAAATCTTTAGCGTTTTGAAATCAACATATTCCATCATAACATGAACAACAAATGAACATTTTCCGAAATGACTTCGAGCCTTATTGTATTTATTTTTCTTTTCATTTCACTTTGAACATTGTGACTTCGTAGTTGAACCTATTTTGATTTTCTTATCGTCTACTGTGATTTTGGTATTGAGCTTACTATTATGTCGTTTTAAAAAAGCAGTGGTCGCTTCCATTATCAATTATTTGTGCGTTGGAGTCATGAAATGAATTTTTGATTAAGTTTATCATTGAATATTACCAACATTGTGGGCATATTTTTTTTGCAGTCATTGATATTTATTTTGTATGTTAACTTGGTTGTTCGAAATACAATTCAATATTCCAATCGGCGAATAATTTTTAGTGGAAGAAGATATCACTTTTTCATTCATTACAATGCGCGTCCGAAGTGATCCACCAAGACTGAAAAAGTCGGACACGCTTCTCCCAAGAATGTGTTAAATTTTATATTCTTAACATTTCTAAAAATGAAAAAATGTGTCTATATTTGATAGTAGAGTGGCTAAATATCGGTTACATATAGTTTGCAACATTTATGTGTCTGATGTCACTTGAAAAATAAAATATTTTCAAGAATGAAATCAAGCGTAAATAATTTGTTGATGCAACGAATCGTTTTTATTTCGTGTAGGTACCTAAAATCTAGGTTTAAATGTAAGCAATCAATTCCTCATTACAAAATTGAGATATTTGATATCAGAAACAAAATTGACGTATTTCTACTACTGCTATAAAAAGTAGCCCATTTCGCAGAGCTTACTTAGTTTCAAAACCATGTATTGTCCATACTGTGGGAAATATTTTTTCTCACGGCACTTTGCCAACACCACACCACATACATTTCTATGGAGAATCAACAAAAATCGACCAAAACTTGGCTGCTGTTCAGCTTTGAATAGTTGTCACAACTGTCAGAAGAAGTTTTTCAAATTCTTAAGTTATAGTTCTCATCAGTGCTTTTGATAGAAATCGCATTTTCCACCAAATATTGTTCCAAAAATTCATAATAAATAATATGATGTATATACCCAGTTGTGATGATTTTGATAAATACGCCGCCAGAGACAGAGATAATGGAAAGAGTTGCAAAAGTTGGATTTGTTTCCGGAAATTTCATGAAAAAAGTATGAATTGGCATATTGGTACGAAAAATTCATGGAATCGAAAAAAATACAGAAATAAAATCTTTTTCGGAAAGTGTACTTTTTTGAAATACTTTGAAGAACTAGGAAAGGCGTCTATATACTCTTTGATCACAATATTCAATGTGGCATAGTGCCACATTATAAAATGAATACCAATAAGTTACATTACTCGGATTCTTTGAATAAGTGCAGTTGTAGAAAAAGTATAGTGTGCAACATGTGGGCAAAAGCACTTTTCTCACTCGTGCGGAAAAGTTGAACTTTTCCCACTTGTTGCACAATATACTATTTCAAGTGTGGTCCATCGTTGGTGGTGACATCCTTAGACATTTCCACACACCGCACATGATATCCATCTCGTCTCTGCTATCTGATACCGTATCGGCAATTGTTCCAAGATGATAATTGATCCGGAGGCAACGGACTCGCTGTGTACGATCGATGGTCGGCTTGATATGCGTTGATCCGGGTGCCCGGAGCAATGCAAGGATGGACTGAAAAGACGAGGTTTCAGTGACGGTTCGAAGGAAGATACAGTGCAGCATCCAGAAGATTATAGATTTTTCGTATTCATAATATGTGATCTCGAAAAGAGTTGAATGATGAGTACCTTCTCAACACAAAATGGTTCATAATTCACGTATTAATTTTATTATCAATATCAGATACAACAAGGGTTCTGAGAAAGTATGGATTTTTCATTATTTTTATCTACAATGCTTAAATCAAAATCTACATGAACTTGAATAAGCTTCTGCAACTAGATATCACTTATTTGCACTTCGTATTTCAGCACTCACAGACAAAAAAAACTTTGATTAAAAAAATAACAAAACCAAACCTTCTAGATAATATTGTCAATGCTCTTATTGAGCTTGAATTACAGTATTCGACCGCCGTGGCATGAGTGTGCACAGAAATAAAGGATTTCTACGATCAAACAAATCAATTTTCTTAAAATTGAATTGCTTCGTACAAGAATTTTTCATTTGAATGTAGCAATATACACTTGTCTCAATTCAATCGGCTTGCTTGCTTCGTTTCTTGAAATTTCTTGATATGAATTTGCTCAACATAAAAAGCATATTTCTTTATTTAAGAGAACCTCGACTACAAGTGACATAAATTCCAATTCATATTGATTCAAGAAAATCTCTGCTTGTCTAAAAGACTTGCAGTGACGAATAGTGGTACGCTGCTCCCCTAGCCATCTAGTGGCAAAGCTCTAAGGTAGGATACAGAGATCGTGACACACACTGTATGGCTACAACATGACTACAACTTCATGTTATACCCTGCGTCTTCGAAATGGGTGATATACCCGAAGCGTAGAGTTGTCCCAGTTGTCAGCAGACCGAGAGCGGCTGATGAGACCTGGTGGGTCGAAACAGTACTGTCTCGCGCCTGCTGACAATTGAGGCAATTCTGTTTATCCTAAAACCCTTAGTTATGAGATTTAGCAGAACATATATTTTGTTAAATCGTAGAAATCATTCATACTCTGAGTGGTCCAATGTAATTAAAAAAAAACACAAATTTCAAAGTCGGTCGACCATGATCATGATCATTGATCTAGTGTGCGTAGTTCTTTCAATTTCTTTAATTTTTATATCCTGTTTATTCTTTTTCATCACTCACTGATTGTTCCACCTCTGTTTCTCATAGAGAACAAGTTCTCCTTATCTCCTTTCTTTCTTTTCCATGTTTCTATCTTCTTTTCTTCTTTCTATTTGCACACCACATCACTTCTAATCGATCCTCTTGGCATCCTTCTCTTTCCTCAATGAAACTTCAGTTCTTCTTCTCACTCTTTCTTCACAGAGCTCTCTCTTGTTCACTTTCGGAACCAAGGTTGCTGATATTAAAACCTTCTGTCATTCGCCATTATCTTTTGTTCCATGATATTCGTGCCTCATATATCAGTATGTCAACCTGTCATGTCAATTGTTTGTTTTTTCATTCTTTAAATCAATTTTCTCCAGTCAACATGTGACTTTTTGAATTTAGACAAAAAACTTAGTTTTTTCGATGTTCAACTTGATTAGGGCCAGATTTTTCTGGCTCTCCAGCCGTTTCAAACGAAACACTTTATTCACCTGACTTCTCGGCCTAATGATGTTTTTTGATTTCGTAAGATCTCTTTTTTGATGATTTTAATGTGACTATTGTAGATTAGATTTAGATTCAGAATGGGGCCTTCGAGCTATCTGCCTCCACATCGCGACCTTTTCAGATCTATTGTGTCTGCCCTCAAAATCGATTAGAGTTTTTCGGCTAGCCCCGCCTTCTCTATGAGACTCCATAGGCTAGCTTTCAGATCCCCTGTGTATCTTTGGGCTTCTGGTTTCTCCTCACCCAGCGTAAGGAACCAAAGTCTTGACAAGACCTCACAGTGGCAAAGTATGTGTACTGCTGTTTCCTCTTCTTACTGACAGAACCTGCACAGCAGTTCTTCAGTCAGACCTATCGTACTCATGTGTTTGTTGAGCCTACAATGCCCTGTGAGAAGTCCCACTAGTTTTAGTTGAACTTCGTTTCTGGCTCAGTAGATATTCTGTGAATGTTGGCGATGGTTTTTTAATAAACTGTTTTGCCTGTCTCATACCTGGCGAGTTGTTCCACCATTCTTGAGATTTGGTTTGCATCCATGATTTGATACTAGTCTTTTGTATAGCTTTCGCAATACCACAGAAGGGTTCTGGGCCATTCAGAGCTTTGTTTGCTCCTACTCCGGCAAGTGAGTCTGCCTCTTCATTGCCCTCGTACCCTGTATGTGCTGGTACCCATGCTAGAGTCAATCTGTTCTGACTGCCCAGTTCATTTAGGGTTTCTAAGCAGTCTCATACTAGTTTTGAGTTAACTTGCATAGTTTTGACTGCTTTGATGGCCGCCTGGCTATCTTTCACGCAATGATGTAGAGCAATAACTTCTGCCTGAAACACCGTCGCGTATTTACCTAAGCTCAGTGAGATTCTTGTCTTTGGCTTGGCCCCATAAATACCAGCTCCTGATGTCCTGATCCTTCCTCAGTTTTGGAGCCGTCCGTATAGACAGCAATGTCTGCATTGATAGGAGGTCAATGCAGACATTGCTGTCTAAGTTTTTGTTTTATAGTGACAATTTCAATTTCTACATTCATGATGTATTTAAGGTATTTTTTTTTTGGCGGT